TCCCAATAAAAGAAATAAATGTAAGAAAAATGTGGATAAAGTTTGCAAATCCTGCATACAACGATGCTGACTCACTGTTTGTAACAGTGCCAAAGCTAAACACTAGAAGTCATGTAATAGGTTATGGCATCTGCGTATGATGGAACGTTAGTCACCTATAGAAAAATGTTTGCCAAGAACTGTTCATGCCCTGGGAAATGGTGCAGATATGAAGCAGAGCGAGAACAGCAGGGTGGGCACTGTGGACACTACAGTTCCAGACAGACCTCAGAGACAAGCCTCGGTGCACGACTGAGGGAAGCACACCAATGCTTTAACGACGCTTATCCATTCTAGGGGGGTTTTCCTCGGAATGTTCTGTACTTGCCAAGTGTTCCTCAATACGCCGAATACTGGTGTTCCCACTCACCTCCTCCCCATGTACACGGAAAAAGACGAGAGACACGAAGGCGCATTCTGGCATGAGGTGCAGGGAGGGCAGCAGGCAGCTTTGAGAATGTACACAGAGACGCCCCAGAAACAGCCCCAGCCGCCCTCACACACATCCTGCCCTTCCAATCAGCGGGGACCCTGCCGAGCTGGCCTGGCCTTGCAGAAGGGCCTCCTGGAGTTGGAGACAATCCATCCTGACCACGGGATGTAGCAGAGACCCCAGGGCGAGCAGGACAAGGAGAAGGCAGAGCGAACACTAGCTCTGGCTGCCTCACCCCTTTGGAGGAGGGAGCCATAAGCTCTACTCCCAGAGTGGGGAACTTGTGAAGTTCATGGCGCTCAGACACTCGGAACTGGGGCCACGTCCAGGATCTCAGCCTCCGTGTACCTGTGTTCTCGTCAGCATGCAATACGAACGATGGTCTCCCTGAGCTATGGGGACAATATAGTAACTCCCATGCCCCTGGCCACAATGAGATTAACCAGGAATTTAAGGGAAGAAGACCCAAAGGAGTCATTCCAGATAAACACTCCCCCATCTCAACTCTCTGACAGGACACCTGAGATTTCTTCGGAATATGCAAAATATCGTCGAGTCCCCAGTTTACCGAGCCTTGAGGATTTGACATCCAGAAATAACCAACCCAGTGGTTAGCACAGACTGGGCCTGATCCCAGGTTTTCTGCTCCCAGATACAGAAGGCAAAGCATCCATACATGTCTCCTCACAAAAGTCCCTTGACCCACAGAGCACGATGGAAGAGAACACGGTCTTCTCCCACTTGTTCAGTTTCTAAACAGCCATCAAGCTCTAAGGCTAGAATCGTTTCCCTGGCACGCAACTTTAAGAGAAAAAGAGAGATGAGGAACACGTTACTATCTGGGATGTATTCGAAGAGCCACTTTGAGAGTGTTTCCAAAGGTTCAGAAAGATTCTCAACTTCCCTTTCCCTCTGGTGCTTTTCTACCCCACAAGGATCAATATTTAGAAAGAGGCCCCCGAGATCCCAAGTATTTTCAAAGGCAGATCCAAATTCATTTAGCATTTGGTTGTATCTGGTTGTGTGGAAGCATGGCGCTTGAAAGATGACACATACGGCAATTCTCAGTGAGTCACGACCTCCCCACTTCCCTTTCCCTATTCTACACCGTTTTTGAGATAAAGCCAAAGCAACCAGCTAAGTCCTAATGCCCATTACCTAACTGGGTCTCTCCTAAGTATTTTGCAGGAACACTGATGGCTTGACCCACTCCCAGAATCCCCCTGTCCCCACAGGACAATCCCTTTATGAAAAACAAGCCTGTCCAATTACACAGCCGCAGGTAAGCAAGAGCCCGCCCTAAGGAGGAGAAGGCCTCCAGGGAGTGAGGAGCTTTTCTAACACGGTGGCTCAGCAGCTCTTTGCAAGGAGGTCTGAGAAGTTCCCAGGTCACTACCTCGTTGGAGGGAAGGCACGGGGTACTTCAGAAGAGGCTGGTCTGTGATTGCTGGTGCTCATTGGACAGCATTTCACACCCAACGCACAGAATTAGGGACCTTTGGGATAGTCGAGGGGGTGGGTGGTGGGGTGCTGCTGCGGGTGGAGGGCTCTGGATGGAAGCTTTTGGGTTGATAACCGGTCACTTTGATTCTAACCGGCTGGCTGATCTTAGGTACTGGATAGCTAAGCATTAAGATGAAGATTCTCAGACGTTGCCCACTCTGTCTTCTCAAGTGCACTACGACTTCTAGCTGGGTCAGAAGATGATGATCAGTTCTGACTCGGAACAGAAAAGCACTCACTGGCATTGTTTTATTAGAGGGACTGACAGGTCCTACTGCCCAGTGCGTATCTCTGTGATGGAAGGAAGCTGCCTGTCATGGAGGCAACAATGGAAGATCGACATGCAGTCAGGGCTCGGGACTGGGAGGGACTCTGGTCATGCAGCACCTGCAGGTGCTCACTGGGTGTCTGACGGACTACCCAGTCAGTCCTCGGCATGGCCACAGGCTTCCCTTAGAAGGCTTGGCTAATCTAAGTTGAAACGGGCTTCCATTCATTTCCAGCCTCAGGCCCCAGAGTCGTCTTCCTGTTTTATACGCTAGCACTGCAACCCCCACTAGCACGACAACCCCCACTGAAGCCAAGGAACAGAGCCTGAAGTCTTTTCCATCCTAAATTGACACATCTCTTCACCTCATTGCTCCTTTGGCCTGATCTCTGTTTCAGTTTTACTGCTTCCAACTAGGCTCCTTCTCTCCCCAGGACGAAGAGAGGGCCATCAGCCACTGCTCTGTAATTGACCTGGAGAGGAAGACCCGGGGCCCAATCTCATGGCATCTTTGCATGTCTCGGCAACTGGATACTCTTGATTCCCATGACCGTGCTTTTTGACCAAGAA